GGCGCTATTCCCATAGTTGTATACACCTTTTGGCACTTGATTGGTGATGAGGTCAATATCATGCAGGCCACCTTTATTTCCGAGAACCTACTTTAGCTGGTTCAACTCAAAGCCCTGGCCACAACATGACCACCATTGAGATTACAGTGTAAACCATGTAAGACAGTTTCAGGCACTGACCTCTCTGTGCAAACCAGTGAAAGACAGTCTGTAAATGATTGTAAGGAATATTTGTTCTTGAAAATAGACTTCTCATTTTTATTTTACATTTCTAGACCACTAAAGATAACTTCATTAAACAGCTTTCACCCAGCATTTCATAAACTAATCAGACCAACTAGAGGACAGAACAAGAATACAAGAGGGAAGTAAGAAACTATGAGCAGTGGAAGAACATATAAAGGAAAGTGTCTGAGTGATGTAAGAAATTGGAAGAACAGGAAGAATCCTCTATAAGAAGAGTAGAGGAAAAGGAAGGGGATTGTGGAAGAAAAATAAAGGAAGAATAAGAAACAGTAAGGAAATAAGCACAGTGAATATTGGAGCTAAGATAATCAATTACCATCAATGCAAGTCACATCAAGAGAAGGCAGGAAATGGAATGTGGTAAAGAGAATCAGAACTGATAGAATTGTTGGAAGAAAAGAGTCTTCTGTGAGAAGAGGTAGAGTGAAACAAAGTGAGAGAGAGAGAGAGAGAGAGAGAGAGAGAGAGAGAGAGAGAGAGAGAGAGAGAGAGAGAGAGAGAGAGTAGAAGGTTGTAGGAAGAGACTTTCAACTTGAAGACAGGAGTATGTGAGATCTGAGAAGAGATTACTTCTCACTGTGTGTGTATGACTCTGTGTGTAATGCTGTGAGAGAGAGAGGAAGAGAGATCTGAGAGAACTTCTCAAATTTGTTGTGTGTGTATTTGTGGGAGAAAGAGAGAGATCTGAGAGAAGAGAACTTCACAATCTGTTGTGTGTGTATATGTGAGAGAGAGAGAGAGAGAGAGAGAAAGAGATCTGAGAAAAGAAGATAATTTATCACTTTGTTGTGTGTGTGTGTGTGTGTGCGTGCGTGCGTGTGTGTCTGTGTGCATGTGTGTGTGTGCATGTGTGAGGGGGTGATGTAATAGAGGCTTTCTCAGAAAGCCATGTGCCACAAACCCATCACTATAGAGAATTCGATGAGTCTTGGTACAAACCTCCTGAATGGCAATATGCTGTAATGACAACCCATTTTGTTGAGATGATGCTAAAAACAATGACTGAAGCAAAGTGATGATGATGTGTGTTTTTTTATGTTATATTAATTGACATATATATTACTACAGAAAATGTCTAAAATTGTTCACTTCAGATCATCATTTCTCCACAAACATAGCATATAACTAATCATGTGGACAACAGGTGGCACTACTATCATGAGAAATTACTCTATGGTTCGAGCAGCAAACATTCACAGTGGTGCAAGTGATGAACTGTAAACTGTATATCATGTCACAAAAACACAAGCACTTTCACTTTAGACACTGAGGGAACTAACAAAAGAAAAACAAGTACTTCAATCACAGATTAATGTATATCATTTACTGTACATAGCTGTGTAATCTAGTTCAGATAATAAATACAATTCAAATTAGACATACAATTTTTTTTTATTTGTATCATTATTATTTACTTCTCTACTGGTGAAGCCAGTATATATAACCATCCAGTATTTTAATACAATGCAATACATGCTCTCATTGTACTCCTCCCCACTCCCCCTTTTTCAACCTCAAATTCTATTGTTAGCATTATTCTTTATTATGTGTTTGTGTGGGAGTGGGGGGGTCTTATAATCTAGCACATAAGAAAGGATAATTATTAACTGTATCCAGTCCCAAGCTTAAGTCTCGAGATGACACTTATGAACAGTAACAGAATGTACAATGATGTTTACACAAAATATACTGTTCATTAAAGATTACACCCTCAGCATTTAAAACTGTTACTTTCATCAGTGTGCAAAATTTATGTAAGCAGTAACTTTAATCTTACAAATAAATGACAGTGCATAAAGTTATCCCTTTAAAAAACGCAAAAGAACTTTCAAATAAAAATGCAAACAAACATTATCTTTTCATCCACTCGGTGCTGTCTTTTTAACATACCTTCCATCATGTTCATACACTGACAATCCACTTGAAACATAACACAATCCAAACTTCTTAGATAACTCAGTTTAAACTGAAATATATTAAGTAAGAAAATGTGTTCACTGAAGAATGAAGTATCAGTATAATCAATAACACCTGTAACAGGCAATACATTTAATCATGATCCTTCTAATGTTAGATACTGTTGGACACATGCTTCTAATGTCAGATACTGTTGGACACATGCTTCTGATGTCAGATACTGTTGGACACATGCTTCTAATGTCAGATACTGTTGGACACATGCTTCTGATGTCAGATACTGTTGGACACATGCTTCTAATGTCAGATACTGTTGGACATATGCTTCTAATGTCAGATACTGTTGGACACATGCTTCTAATGTCAGATACTGTTGGACACATGCTTCTAATGTCAGATACTGTTGGACACATGCTTCTAATGTCAGATACTGTTGGACACATGCTTCTAATGTCAGATACTGTTGGACACATGCTTCTAATGTCAGATACTGTTGGACACATGCTTCTAATGTCAGATACTGTTGGACACATGCTTCTAACGTCAGATACTGTAGGACAAATGCTTCTAATGCCAGATACTGTTGGACACATGCTTCTAATGTCATATACTGTTGGACACATGCTTCTAATGTCAGATACTGTTGGACACATGCTTCTAATGTCAGATACTGTTGGACACATGCTTCTAATGCCAGATACTGTTGGACACATGCTTCTAATGTCAGATACTGTTGGACACATGATTCTAATGTAAGATACTGTTGGACACATGCTTCTAATGTCAGATACTGTTGGACACATGCTTCTAATGTCAGATACTGTTGGACACATGCTTCTAATGTCAGATACTGTTGGACACATGCTTCTAATGTCAGATACTGTTGGACACATGCTTCTAATGTCAGATACTGTTGGACACATGCTTCTAATGTCAGATACTGTTGGACACATGCTTCTAATGTCATATACTGTTGGACACATGCTTCTAATGTCAGATACTGTTGGACACATGCTTCTAATGTCAGATACTGTTGGAAACATGCTTCTAACGTCAGATACTGTAGGACACATGATTCTAATGTCAGATACTGTTGGACACATGCTTCTAATGTCAGATACTGTAGGACACATGCTTCTAATGTCAGATACTGTTGGACACATGCTTCTAATGTCAGATACTGTTGGACACATGCTTCTAATGTCATATACTGTTGGACACATGCTTCTAATGTCAGATACTGTAGGACACATGCTTCTAATGTCAGATACTGTTGGACACATGCTTCTAATGTCATATACTGTTGGACACATGCTTCTAATGTCAGATACTGTTGGACACATGCTTTTAATGTCAGATACTGTTGGACACATGCTTCTAATGTCAGATACTGTTGGACACATGCTTCATTGCCATCCTGTTTTCCTTCTTCTGTGCACTCAAATTGAAAATGCATGAACTGTCCAGCTGTATCCTGTTAAGTTAGCAGTGTTTGTATATATGATTCAGCTTTGCTCATTTATTGTGTAAAGGAGCCTTACCTACATGGTATGGCTACAGAAAGTCATCAAGAATACATGTGATGTAACAAGTTAGGCTCATTACAAACAAATATTAACTAAAATAATTATACAGGCTAAAAAAAAAAAAAAACTGTCAGAGAGCTCAACTGTTAACATGCAACATTAGGAAATTATGCTTATCTTTAAACAGAATGAAATGTTAAAAACATTAAAACAAAACCAAACCAACCATTACTGGCTGCATGCATACTATTAACCTTCATCAACACACTCTATAATTTCAAACATTAATATTCAGCACACAGTAGTTTTGATTTCACTGTTGTAACCTACCTAATAATTCAAAATGTTAATGTAAATTTAAAATATATTTATATATATATATTTTTTTTGTGGTACCTCGGGTCACACAAACCTCTAGTCACAAACAACGGCAAATAAACACAATTTTTTAACACATTTTAACTCGACCCATTAACAATGCCTTGGCACATGAATGCACAAACATGGCTTTGGTCCATGCCTTTGGCTCACAAACAGCATCAGATGTACTTAGGTCTGCCCACTGCAGACATTGCATTGTTGTGCTGTTCTTGATACAAGTTTTTTCCTTCTTGTTGCACTAAACTAATCCTTTTTATGGTTCCCAAGAGAATGAAAAGTTTTCGTGACAGTGGTATAAAGAAGCCTAAGCATAAGCCTATTACATTAGAAATGAAGAAAGAAGGAAATAAAACCCGCCACCCGAGCAGCAATGAAACCACTTTCCAGGATAAAAACAAGCAGGGAAAACAGAAATATCTACAAAGTAGGTGCCTGACATTATTATGGAAATGGATTCTCATTCGAAGGAGTTTTCTTCCTCCAAATCTACTATCTACCAGCACCAGCAACTATCAACCACAAAGGTTATACCATCTATTTTACCATATAGATTGTTGTTACACATAAATCCACAACAAAGTTTGTTTTTTTTAAACAGTTTCTGGGGCAGGAGAACGGATTCATTGGATCTGCATTGATTTCAATGGGAAAAAATTGTTTCAGGTTGTGCACTTTAGTCAGAACAGTCAGAGAATGAATTAAGTCTGTGACCCGAGGTACCAATGTATTTGAGTCAAATGTTGTAACTGTTAGTAAAACTTTATTAAAATCAATGCACAGACCATTTGGATGCGAGTGATAAAATTCAAACGTCATGTACCCTAGTTTAATTATTAGACATTGTTTCCATTAAGAAAGTTTCGATTCACAAATGCTTTCAACAAAACGCCTTTATGTTGCTGGCAGTTAGCGTTTTCACTGGTACTTCAATTATCGTGGAGGCATTGGTGGTGGCGGTCTCTGGCGATCTGAAAAAATAATAAGTTGATTTCATTAACTGTTTGTTAAAGCAAAGGGTTGTGGGTTTTACAAGAGCCACTGGTCTCTAACGATGTCACACTTACCACTGATTTCCTGGGTTAGGAGGTTAAATATCTATCTAACGTGCACATGAAAACCCCACGGCCAGTGGAAATTACACAGAAGAGACAATACAATTATTACTCTGGCAACCTGTTTAGAAATAGAAAACAAATTACATGGTTTGATACAGCCATTCTATTTTGGATGGAATTTGTCTACAGGAAGTAACCCTGACTCAAGTGCATAACCAAAGTCAGACACTTACCTCTGAGTTACAGTAGTACATAAACAGGTGCCAAACATTCCCATCAGAAGCAGAAAAAAAAAGAATGTTATTTTCATGTTTTACTGAGTAATATTTTACAAGGTGCCCCCTTCAGTCATGTGCATGCTATCAAATCTAAATTGTTGCTTATACATTAGAGGACATTAAATCTGGTACTCAATTATGATCTAGGTAGGATATTTTTTTCTGCATTCATTAAACCATGCATGAGAGAAGAATGAGGCTGCCAGAGAGGTTATACTTTCTCAAATGTGAATTTCAGAAGATTAAAAACTAAGACTGACATTAAACATGCCAATACAAATACTTTAAATCAAGAGGTTTCTGGTTTTCAATAAGGATGTAAAGTCCTTTCAACTTGAATGATGTGGAGCCAGGAACAGTTAATAAAAACCTTCACTATGACATGCCACTATGACAACAGCAGATAGTAATTTAAAAAAAAAAAAAATTACACTTCAACAATTTGATCTCAAACTACACAATGTGATTCCACATGTGTGGGATATTATTTAATAATACACTCCCCCCACCGCAGACACACACAAACACACACACTGATTCTACTAATCACACAGTCAAAATTGAATCATATCCATGTATGGAGCAACAGGGAACTCTCCGTGGCGGAGCGGCTAGGCGCTCGCCGTGGATCGGAAGGTCGTGGGTTCTCTCCCTGAAGGACCCGGACTTTTTTCAAAAATGACCTTGGCTCCCAGGTCGACCCAGCCTTGAGTGGGTACCAGGTGCAGTCCAGGGAAGTAAAGGTAGCCGGCATGATGCTTACCACATCACATGGGAAGCAATCATCAAACTGGGTTGGATAGTACTGCAACATCCACCCTATAGTCACAAGTTGGCACTCTCAGATCTTCATCTGTTTGTCCGTGGGATATGGTTTGGAGATGACGAAGAAATGGTTCATGCAGTGAAGAAACTGCTACACAGTCAAAACAAAATCTTATACATGCTAGGAATAAATATGTTTATTTTGCACTGGTATAAAGTTACACAAGCTGATGAGGAGTATGTTTAAAAATGTTAAATGTTGAATTAAAAATCAGTCGCTGTCTGCTCATTTCCCAAAATACCGGCATGAACTGGTGAAAATATTCAAAAGATGCTAACTACCCGGGACCTCTGAAGTGATGCTTGTCACTCTGCACAAAGCATGCCAGTCTTCACCTTACTCAACATGATCTGTGAGTCAGTTACAATCACAGCATGTGTGTATTGGTGATTCTCAATCCAGCGGAAGGCAGCAGAGACTTCCTCCACCTCCATTCTCAAACTAGATTAAGTTAAATAATACCAATGTTTATATGATATATACATGCATACTGTGTATAATTTCATGCAATCTGCATAAACAGCTCCTGAGAAATAAGATTACTTTCTGAAAATCCTGCATATATTCACATGAAGATAATGGTGAACATTAAATTAAATGAAATTTAAGAAAGAAGAAGTAAGAGAAATGCCTGGACAACCGCTGGCATCAAGAGTTACACAACCAAGAAGATGATGTTAAACTGGGTAAATCTTGAGGATAAGTGGATAGGCACTGAAATTTTAAACAGACTGAAGAAACAATGAAGTTCAAGAGAAACCCTTGGATGAACATAGAGGAAAGAGTCAGAGGGGATAGGCTGGAATCCATCCCTGTCTCAATTTTGGCACAGGACACAGCAGATTGGAAGAAATGACTGTGAGCCCTATGTGATATATAAATGGTACACCAGGATGGTGATGTTAGTTAAGTAAAGTGTTAGTACGTAAGGTGTCAAACAGTAGGGTGGACATATGACAAGCAGACATATGAAACCACTATATTCAACTGTTAAAATGGAAAATCAAGTGTGAATCAACTGTCAACAATGTGAACTTACTGGAGTTTCTGGGATTTTTACTAGGGTACGTTTTATTCATGTTACTGAAAGGCTCTGGTGGTGTGAACTCATTTGGCTGGTGAAACCGAAAACGTGTTTCAAAATCTGTGAAAGATTTGTTACAATTATTCAAAATGTGTATAAAAACAAAATACACTGGGAAAATATAGCATTGGTTAGCTGTCACAACCAGAAAATAAAAAACACGAGAACATCCAGGTGACTGTTTAATCTTAACATAAATCCCCTATCTAGTATATCACAAAAACATCCAGATAAATTAATCTTACACATCCATCTCTCTATCTGTTATCCCACAAAAATATCTAGATGGCAGATTAATCTTACACATCCGTCCTCTATCTAGTATCCTACAAAAACACTAAGATGATAGATTAATCTTACACATCTATCCTCTATTATCCCACAAAAACCTCCAGATGATAAATTACTGTCATTTATTCATCCTCTATTATCTATCTTCATATGAACAACAGCTTGCAGTCAACACCTGTCTCCCCCCCCCCCCCCCACCCGCCAGAGAGAGAGAGAGAGAGAGAGAGAGAGAGAGAGAGAGACAGACAGAGAGAGAGAGAGAGAGAGAGAGAGAGAGAGAGAGAGAGAGAGAGAGAGAGAGAGAGAGAGAGAGAGAGAGAGAGAGAGAGAGAGAGAGAGAGAGAGAGAGAGAGGTTGAAATTTTCACTACAGAGTTTTTATTAATAGAATATGTTTATCTTATTCTTGATTATCTGCTACCTCTTGCCTCTTGGCAATGGGCAATGGAGGCAAAAGAAGTGCTTGGGGCTTCTTAGCAAAACTTAATGGTCAACGTTTGGTGCAGGAGGGCCTAGCATATGATACCACAACATCCAGCTTAAGAATGGAGGTGGAGGCGGTCACTGCTGCTTTCTGCTGGCTAGAGAACACCACACACACACACATCGTGATTGTAACTGATTCAGAAAGCATGCTGAGGAAGATCAGAACAGGTACGCTTCGTGCAGAGTGGCATGCTTCGCTGCGGAGGACATGGATGAGGAGTATTGTCTGGATTTTTTCACCGGGGTATGCCGGTGTGTCGGGAAATTAACAGGCGGACAGACTGGCTGGCTCTGCACAACTTGGTGGAATACTAATACATGATAAGGCAGACGTGGTTAGTGCCTTGTGGAAGAGCGTGTACAGTTCGGAAGAGCAGATGGATCACCAGTCTAGTGAGATTGATGCAGCGGGGAGTGATGAGAGGTTCTGGCAGATACTCAAGGCTCAGAGGAAAGGCAAGATGGACGTTTAATCAGAATGCTACTGGCACTGTCAGTATCGGAACTCTTAGCTGGCTGCTGAAGATGGGGACGGAGCGCTTATGGGAATGCCCCGAGTGCTGTGATGTCGGTTCTTGAATCAAATCAAAATAATATCTGCTACCTCTACAGATTGTTGGCACAAAACTACTTTCTTCTTCCTACAAACTAATTACAAGGAATTAAATTTTTTGTATTTATAATATTATTATTCCTCATCTGTCCTCTCTAATGATTCGGAACTCTTCTTCACGCATTACATTTTATATCTAATAAGCTTTCTTATTTGTGATACAGACAGCATCCGTGTTTGGTCATTGCTCATCTCCAGTCTTAAATTTTTTGAGTTTGAAGCTGAGTCATGGCAGATTTGTTTCATAACTCTCCTTAGCTGCTCTAGCCTAAAATGAGAATCCTGTAATGCTCTGGAAAGTAAAGGCAGCCAGCGTGATGCCGACCACATCAATGTCTATCAGGATATGTCTAAAGCGCCTTGCTTACATGCTTCGTAATGGTAACAGAAGTATTGTTAGAAATGTGTACATCTGTGAGGAACAGAGATCGTATGTCACTGTGATTTGTCTTTAGGCAGCTTGTCTCGTTATGCCTATTGAGATTTCCATCTTCAGTCAAATCCTGCCTACAGGTTAAAAATCTGAAGTCTGTTTAACTTCAATGTTATGTATATGTATGTTAAAGTGGGCTTGATGCTCCATTATTTTCATGATTACAACTACTTCTTTGTGTTCACTGGCTGTAAACTCCAGGAAAAGCTTTTGTTCCAGAATCTGTTTTGTGTGTACATCCATTTTTACAGATCTGACTTACGTGTGTGCAGACTGTTGGTTCCTTGCCACTGAGGCAGATGCAGTCAGACGCTGAAGGAAGTCCCCAGTTAGTCGACTATTCTGACATGCTTGTTGGGGAGGCAGTGGGTCTATTCTTGTTTCTCACAATGAGGTCTCAGAACCCATATGAAGAATCTCCATGATTACAAACTCTTTTCAAATAAAATCAGGTGCTACCTAAACCATCTTCACCAGGTGCCTCACTGAATGGTGTGGCTAATCATGCCACTTCACAATCTGCGATCTGCAACTGCCTGTATCAGTTAGTGTGATGACACCCATCCATGCCATGACAAAAGGCCGTCAAGAATCTTCTTGCATTGACTTCCTCTGTTTCTCTTTCCAAAGATCTTTCTAGTGGTCATAACATGCTTCAATTTCCTGTATCTCATAACATGACCCCAAAAAATGATGACTGTCTCTGATTTTTGTGCTAAGTTTAAAGTTGTCTTTGAGCTCTCACCTCTTTCAAAACATGGTTTTGTTTTTTTTAGCTGCCCAATTCTTGTTGGCTGTCAAAGCCCAAAATAGGTACAATAGCACAATATTTACAAATGCATTGAGAAAGCAAATCTGAATTAAAATATCAAAACTTGTTAAGTTCTCTTATGCCAGGCAGACAAACACACACACCATTTTTTTTTTCTCCCTCTGTGTGCTTGTATGTCTACGGACCTGGATACATGATGATAAGAAAGAAATGTGTGTTCAAATGTGTAGTGAATATGTATTACTTGTATCATAAAGCACATCAATTTTACACAAAATATATATTGTTACCAGTAGGGAAAATGAAATATAAAACTCACATAACATAAATAATAGAGGAAAGAGAGTAACTAGAGTTGTGTTCCTTTCCTTCTCTCCCATATCTCCAACTTATCACAGCAGAAAAATATATTGCTTTAGTCGGGAGCTATGAAGATAGTAGTAGAACTACTGGCTGAGTGTCTCAAGTCTGACCAGAATAAGGGGAACTGATAGCCTCATTAGCTGACTAAAACTTGGCAAGGCTAGGAATGTACAGCTGGCAAAAACTCATGGTGAAATCAGGTGGCCCTAAAGATTATGACATGTCTTACAAACTTGTAGTGTGCCCACAGTGTATAATTATATGGGTTTTTTTTAATGTGATGACCCTTACCAGACTCCAATTTTACAAAAATTTCCTCTTTCAACAAGCAGACCACAATATTAAGCCTCTTCTTTCAAAATCTTCTCAATGCCCCCACTGCTGACAGAAGAAATATCGTTTTGTTTTTTTTTAAACCAAAAATTCTGTTAATTATGCTCCTGTAAAACAAAATCTACATTTTTTTTTCTCAAAACTCACCATCTTCACTTGAGCTCTGACTTCCAGATTTGCGAGGGCCTGTTGGTGGCTGGATCTGTGGAGGAGCTGGCAGTCCACCACCTGTAGATGCCCGCCGTGAGGGAGGCCTACTCGGTGGACCTGAGCGACCAATAGTACCCCCCACTACATTAACATTTGATGTTGTCCTCTGAGGAGGTGGTGGCGGAGGTGCACCACTTCTGTTTGGAGGTGGAGGGGCTGCTGACCTTGAAGGTGGAGGCGGTGGTGGTCGTGCCGGACCTACAGCATTACTTCCACTGTCTCCTGGTGGTGGTGGCAATGGTCGCCCTACCATACTATTCGGTCTGGTTGAATTTGATGGAGGGGGGCGACTGGGGGGTGGAGGAGGTGTTGCAGTGGCAGTCTGATGCCCACCGGTAGATACTGAAGGTTTAGGCACTGGAGAGTGGGCTGGTGTATTACGAGATGCAAGACCAGCAGCAATTAATGAAACATTTGGCTGGGAGGCACCTGAACCACCTCTGTCTTCAGCTGTTGATGAGCTATTGAATCTGTTTGTGATATTTGAGTTCAGACGTCCTGGTGTACCACCATTGCTTGGTGGAGGTGGACCCGCAGCATTGACTGGCCTACCAAGACCAGGAGGCCCAGCTGGTGCTAAAACTTTATTAGCTGTAGGTTTATTAGAGCTTGAGGCTGGTGGGGGTCCACCATTTATTAGCCGACCTTTATCGCCACTCTGAGGAGCATTAACTGGTCCATTAGATGTGGAACTAGGCGGTTTGAGTGCTGGTCCTCCAGCACCACCTGGAACTGAAATCACATCAACAAAATACTAAACAATATATAAGCCAAAGTAGCTAAATATTACATAAGCTTCTGCAAAAAATTAAGAAATGCAACCAGAAATGAAAGTAGCTTTTCCTTCATTACTACAAAGTCAGCTCCTGCAGACCTAGGAAACTGACACACCTTTTAGATCTAATCTGTATGCAATGTATTTTTTTTTCAGCTATCAAGGGATTGTCCTCACTATGGTCTTAACAGGTCCTCTCATCTAATCTTTATTAAATCTATCAGCACAGAGTGACTGACTGTGCCAGTTCTGGGAGGACTGGCTGTTCTTTATGCAAATCTGTATCTAAATATATATTATCCCTGCAGCAAAATGTTCAATATTCCTGATATTATTATCATTTTTTCAACATTCTGAAAACAAGATGAAGAACAATCAGCCTCTGTCTGTCTGTGCATATATATATATATGTATATATATATGTATGTATATATATATGTATATATATTCACTGTCGGCTCTGTGGCTAAGTCGATGCGAACACTTCGCTTCGTAATGCCGGGATGCCAGGTTCGATCCCAGCTGCGGGCAATGCGCCTTGCGTTGGTTTCGACAGTGGTATCAAGAAAGCCGACCGTCCAGAAAGCAATGGCAAACTACTGGACGTAAATTTGCCTAGAGAAACCACACAACAGCCAGGGGCTGTTAGGGTTGGTTCTGCAACGTCCTCTAGAGGATACGCAACAACCTTATATATATTCACATAAAACTCTGCAGGTGTCTGACTATTGGGTCAACAAGCATGTAGATTAGGGAATTCTGGCTTTCACAACTGAAGCCTATATTATGTATGGCTTCTGCATTTAAATTTAAATGTTGAATTAAGAATCAATATCAAAGCACTAAGGACACTTCCATAAGCACTCCGTCCCCATCTTTAGCAGCAGGTAAGGAGTTCTAATTCCAATGGTACCAGTAATTGTCTGACTGTATATCCAACTTGCCTTTCCCTTGAGTACTTAGCGAACACATCAGAGATGAAATCAGAGGCAAGAACCAAATTTATCATCTTTTTAAATCAACAATAATTACTGACATCATGAGGGCTTATAGACTACAGTGGTTGAGGCATATACAGAGAATGGCAGATGACAGACAAAAACTGAACATGAAGGAGATTAACTGGAGTACACGAGGCAGACCAACAAGACTGTGGAGAGTTAATATTTAGGCAAACATATCTGAGTTACAACTGGAAAGAAAAAGTCAATCATGGAGATCAATAGAGGCAGGTGACATCTACTTTAATCTACCTCAAGGGTTTGAAATATTGAGGATGATAAAGAAAAAGAGCAAAAGTTGGAGGTGGAGGAGAAAAAGAAGAAGAAAAGTTAAAAACTTTGGTCAAAAACTAAAGAGTAATGTGGCCATTTCCCCTTTAATCTAAAAACTTCCTTCCTCAACTGAAAGAAAAGTTTATTTTATATGCTGTGGTTTCAGCTATAACAATATAGTTACAAAATCATTTATTAGGCCATGACTTTTCAAATAGCAAACATGTGTAAATAAAATGATAAACAACACCAACCTCTAGCATGTCCTGCAGATTTGAGCTTGGGCATTCCCCCTGCAAACAATCCACCTAAAGCTGCTGGTCCTCCACCACCTGTATTACCTCCTCCTCCTCCTCTACTCTCATGACCGCCTCCTCCTCCTCCTCCTCTACTCTCATGACCGCCTCCTCCTCCTCCTCCTCTACTCTCAGGAACACCTCCACTGTTTTTAACAACTGGTGAAACAAAACAATTTGATAGACAATGTTAATAATAACTAAAATATCATATTGTTCATTTCAATCCTGTGCACCAGCCTCTCTGCTCTGTAACACAGCAAGAAGTTGAAACACCATTCTATGTGTTTCTCCTTTTGGTGATTGGTCAATATCTTTTGTAGTACCCACTGTAAACACATCTTCCAATATTGCAGTTTCTTATGAATAACTTTTTTAACTTTCCTAATAAACACATCTAATTCACTTGCTAGCAAACTATGCTTTGACAACAGTTCACCTGTATTTGGTAATGGTTTTGACCCACTGCAACAATATGAACTTGACCTGGCCATTAAAGATCTATCATAAACTCGTGTCTTTTACGGAAGATTTTTGCCCAGTCTGTTAACATTGTCTCTGACACACATTTGTTACCAAATGCTGCCAGCATTCTTCTATGATTGTCCAGCAGTCAACATTCTTCAAATAAAAAAAAAACTGAAACATAGCTCTATGAGATTCTCTGGGCAGATCTTGGATCAATCCAACCATTTTCTCAATGGTCAGAAAACCTATGCATCATTGGTCGATAAGCATGTGCTTTTATTCATTGGTCAATACTTCTTACATGACTGTGATAGTATCATGGCCTGGATTTAAGATTTTTAATATTTTCTTTATTTCTTTGATACATTTGTCATATGAAGTTAGGCATTTTAAATTTTCAAATAATCTTGACTTGCCTTTAAATAAAACCATGACTAACTGTCCATTTAAACTTATCTACCACTATCAGTCAATGCTTGCTTCCGTTTGCAGTTGCAGCTTCTGTTACAACCAAATCTGTTTCTTGTCCAAAGATATAGTAGTCAGCTTATGATTTCCCCAATATAAATAATTATCTACTTCAGCTAGATGGTGGATTCACTTGTTTGCTTTATCTTATTTATTTTGCACCTGACAGTGTAAATGTGAGCCCGCCCTGCCCACCAAATCATGCATCACCCTCCTGTGCTATATCTGCAATGAAAGATGGTTATATCTGGTCTCAATTTCTGCAATGAAACTTTCCTGTAGGTTTTGATCTTCTTGACCACGTCTTGATGCTGTCTGTCCACTGCAATGGGTAAATTTAGTACATCAGAGACTACATAAATTAACTATCATGAAACCATGGAGCACAGTTGAGAGTAGTATACATAGTGGGTAACAAAAACACAAATCAACAGCAAAGTTTCAAGGCAGAAATCCAGTATTACCAAAGTTAGATGTGGAGATTTGGTTTATGACTATTTGCAGTCTTGGAGAGAGTACAATCATGGTGAGACACAAAGTGTTGAAGGTGCACATAGAGTGTTGGAAGATCATTGTTGTGAAGCAGCAACTGACTGAGCATCAAATGTGTACAGGACAATACTGGTCAATTCACTGACCTTTTAACATTTGGGAGGGGGGGGGGGGGGGAATGTTTCAATGTGCTCTGAAAAGATGTTATATTTCAACAGATGTATCTTATTTTATCTCTCAAACTCCCACATTAATCTTTTGGACCTATAAATGCTGGTTTTGCAGGCTTTATAATGGCATGACATCTTTGGGGAATAATCACTACTTCCTTATAAAAACTCTGGTACTGACTGCAACTGTAGTGTGTATAATTACATTTAGTCCCCCTTCTTCCCCCCCCCCCCCCCCCCCTTTCTTCAAAAATCTGAAATATTTGGGGTGAACAAATTGTTTTGGTTGTGTAGTGACAAAAAGTCACCATTGTACTCCACATAGCTACCTCCACAAAATATTTTTGTGTTGTCACAGGGAGTGAAAGCAGATAATTCTCTGCACGATTTGTATTTAGCAATTACTTTCCTTAACTATAAAGCTGACATTGGGTGTTGGATTTGTGGTTTTACTAGGCAATTTAAAAAAACAAAAGGATTTAGGAGGCTGCAATAGCGCAATGGCTAGCAGGCCTACCTGTCTGCTCAAAGTTGTTTTTTTTTTAACTGACCAAGATTTCAAATGTCTTCTGCTTTTTCTTCTCCTCTCTAGTTTCAGAGAACTAAATTAAAAAGGATGTTTCATTCTAAGGAGCACTGGGAAAGAGACATTTTTTTTAAAAGACTCACAGGGTGAAAGGGTTAAAGAATTTTTCTAGTGGGTTTATAATCCACCATGAATTCTTAGGATTAAAACTGTTACTCCCCGAAAGTTAGTTATTTGGGTTTTTGTCTTATAAGTAACTCCTTTAAAAAGTCACTTCCATCTTCTTCCATTCTTCATCCAGAGATCTTTCTTTTTTTTTCATATGCTTTTATTCTTTCTGCCATACCCCTATATACAACTTAACAGGCAGATTAGAAAAATCTAAATGATCTAGGGTTTTCCCTTTTAAATCCAAAAACTGTTAGGGGCAGAAGTGCAACTCCTCGACAACCTTCTTTTCTCTATTAATTTTTAATTTACTGTGTGGGTTTCAACCCCCAGTTTTTTCTTGGAGGGGGAGGGGGGCGGAAATCAGCGTGTTGGACAAAAAGGCAGTTATTGCAGTCCAGCTGTAAACTATAACACAGTGTGCCAGCCGCCCTTTATAAGGTAGACGCAAAAGAAGAAGATTAATGTTAATTTCTACCCCAACAAATTCTGTTCTTAAAATAAATGAATTTTTACCTCAGATAATAGCTTTGTATTACAGGGTGATTAACAAAACATCCTACCTATCTGAGGTGCACTCCGATCATTTGTTACAGCTTTCTTTAATCTTGCCCCTTGATGAATCTGATCTAAGAGAGCAGATCGGGGTGGTGCTCCTCCCCCTTTGGAGCCTCCACCTGATGCTGGTGGCGGTGGTGGTGGCCCTGGACCAGGAGGTGGTGGTGGGGGAGGGGGTGGCATCGTATCAGTTCAGCAGCTAAAACAAATGAGATACTCAATATTTAGTATGTATCAAGATGTAATGAATAATCATTTTATTTGTGGGAGAAATACATCATATCATCACCAAAGACAATGCCAACTTCAGGACAACACAAAATATCCTAATTTAAACAGGGCCAATACTTTGTCTCAAGCAAGGCAAGTGTGTATATATATTTCATCATGCAGAAGGTCATTTTTTAGAACTTTCTTCCTATCCAGAACGAAACGCCATCCCTCCAATCTCAACTGCTTTCCTACCCAAGGCGTCTTTTATGTCCTGTGCACTGGCCAGCCCCTGTCTCTAACCCTGATTCAAGCCCTTTTCAAACCACTGTGACATTTGATATGGCCAAAGTATTTCAGTTTCTGAGACAAAATGTTGTTTGTGAGCCAATTTCTCTCAATGTTCACATCTTTCTAAATGTCGGTACTGTTTACCTTTTTGGTCCATGGTATTATAGTCTAAGAATCTATCTGTAACAACATTTCAGCTCAGTAGATTGAACTTTCCTCCTTAAAGATTGTGAGATAGTCCACGACTCACATCCATACACTACTACAGGGAAGAAGCTCTCAAAATGTGCTTGCTGTTGTTACACAGGCATAGGTTTCTAACGTTGTTTAATCTTTGCACGGTTATATCCCCATCCAACTTTTAACGCCTTTATTCCAAGAAACCAACACATGGTCATTCCCAGTTGTGACAAGTCCCTATAAATGCCCATATATGGCATATGTATATGTCTGCAGTGACCTGCTATTGAAAAGCAGTTAAATTCCATTATTCATATGTGCGCCTTCACCGGTTTTAAGGGGCAATGATATGGATAAAGTGACTTAAAAAAAAGCATTGGGGAAAAAATTGCTTTTTTAAAAGCCAATCTGTTGCTAAATGTTCTCATAAAGCCTCAGTGAAAGAGATCAGGGCAGGAGTCATTCGATTTATTGAATTAAAAAAACAAAATTTACTGCAGACAATTATGTTTTTTTTTTTTTTTTTATTAGTTACCTGGGTAATATGGTTTTTAAAAAATAAATTTTTATGAGTTTATGACCCATTTTTCCGCATTCATGCAGTGAAAGGGTTAACTTCAATTTAGCAGTCTCCAACGCTGTTTATTATGAGATTTTTAACATCTAACATCTATAACCAGGTTTTTAACAATCACAGTGGCTTTCCTAGGAACTAGTCTACCACTGACAATGAGGGGAAGTCAATAAGTAAGTCACAAATGGATGTTTAAAAAATAACAAGTCAATGGAAATGAAAGAGCTGACAGGTTGGCTGGATCCGCTATCACTACCGACGGTCAGCCTATGGATCATGCTGATATTATCAATGCCCTCAGAGAAATGGGAAGGATAGAGGACTTTGGTGGCAGTGAATCCACATCACTCGTCAGAATGGCAGACTTGGGAATTAAGATCGGCACAGCAAAAAACGAGACGCACACCAGCTACGCCAGAAGACTTGTTAATCAACATAGAACTGGTACTATTAGCCATCGGACGTTGGGGTTCATACTGAGGGGAGGATCTGAGCACCTATGGACATGTCCGGAGTGCAATGAGGATAACCCAACTAACTAACTAACTAACTAACTAACAAAAGTCAATAACAAGCTAAAAACTATTTATTTTTACATATACACCATCCCTTTATTTTTCAAATAATTTCCACCAACATTGATGTACTTATCTATCATTTTGTCAGTCCACCTAAACCTGCTGCACAGAACTGGGTGCTATGATCGCTAAAACATATTTTCACTTCATATTCAACTGCTGCATCATTCGCAAAATGTCACCGGTAAAGGTGGGTTTTCAGTGGACCAAATAAGGTGGAAATCACTAGGACCCAAGTCTGGGCTGTAGGGGGATGTTCCAGAAGTTCCCACCCTTGATGGTTAATTTTCTCCTAAGTTAACGAAGCCCTATGTGGTTTGGCATTGTCATGAAGGAGCAGTACTCCTCTAGTCAGCAGGCCTTAGCATGAATCAGCATTCACATGGTCACCTCTTTTTTTTTTAAATCGGTTAAAAGCATTAATTCCTTGACAATACCAGAATACTGTCAGCATAAGCTTTTCTGCTGATGGCGTAAACTTGAATTTTTGAACACAGTGTGAAGAAGGATGTTTCCATTGCATTAGAACACGCTTTGAATCGGGTTGGTGGTGATGCACCCATGATTCGTTTCTGTAATATTTATGTTCAACATGTTTTCCCCACCTGCTTATTGACAGAGATGCTGCAAGAACAGGGCTAATCAGTTCATTCATGCATTATGTTGTATGCTGAACCATGTGAGCACCCTATTACAGCTACTACAGAGTCAACAGTTACTCATCTGGCATCTCTAATCATCTCCTCCACCTTCTACACAGATGCGTCTGTTGCAATCTCAACGGGACGACCAGATCGGACTTCATCAACAATTTTAGAGCGTCCTTGAGAAAAAAGATTTGTACCCAGCTATGCCCTGCTTAACGGGATAAACATTTGTCAGTATAAACAGGAACCATTCTTTTATGATTGCCCTTTGCAGGCAGTCTTTTTGAATTTAAAAAAAAAAAAAGGATTTTACATGTTAGAGGGTAAACTCCATAAGTACAGTCTCCATTTTGTTTCTGTCTTGCGAATGCGCATGCAACACCTAGCACCACCTAATGAATGGAGACACACAGTTGGATGTTGCTGTCACCTAATGACACCTTTAGAAACCACCAACTACATTTGCCTGCTATCACATAACCATCTGTGACTTATTTATTGACTTCCCTCATATTTTATACAACAGATGCAAGAAAAATGCATGATGATTACAGATGAAAACCACTTTGCAGAAGTTAGTAGACAACATGCACACGCTTGGTTTACAACTAATCAGTAGAATAGATTATTTTTGACAAGAACTAATGGAATTTGATGAAGAGGCGAAAATAACCATTATACCAATAAATGTAGGACAGATAAATGATATGGAAATCAAGGAGGCAATCAATTCAATAGCAAACAATAAAGGCAGCTGGTGATATTAATGCAAAGCAGCAAATGATGTGACCATACTCTGAGTAAATGATTTGTTTAACAGAATATGGCCGGAAGAAAAATTCCTATAATCAACGGAAAAAAGGAATAATTTAAAATTCCAAAGAAAGCCAATCTAACAGACAGTAACAACTGGAAAGGAATTATTCTGATACCAGTATCAAGACTTTTTGTAAAACAATTCTTAATAGTTTAAAAGGGTAGCAGTCTTCTTTTTCTTCTTCTTCTCCTCCACCATTTACCTCAGCGAGGTGTTGGGGGGAGATGTAAGGATCGTTTGTGCGCTTTTTCCAATGCAGTGTACACGCTGGTGTTCATCTCTATTAGGTTGCTCCTGATGATGTCGCTCTATTTTTGCGTGATCTTCCCCTTGCTCTGTGTTCATTATATGTCTTCAGGGTGGCTCTTTGTGGCAGTTGGTACCAGGGTATTCTCGTCAGGTGGCCAAACCATCTCATTTGTTGTTCTTTAATTAACTGTATCACTGGTTTCAGTCCTAGTCTTCTTCTAATTTCTTTATTCCTGTTTTATCTCTTCTTGTCACACTGGCAGCTCTCCTAAGACATATCTCTGTTGTTATGATCTTCCGCTCATTAGTTGTAGCAAGGGTCCATGTCTGGCACTGGTAGCACAATATAGGTCAAAAAATTGTTCTTAAGAAATATGCTTTGTTTGACAGATATATATTTCTATGCATCAGAAGAGGTATTAATTGTCTAAAAAAACTGACTTGCTTTTGCACATCATAAGTTGATTTCTCTATCCATTTTTCCATCTGAGGTGAAAAATGACAATAGATATTTAAATCAGCTCGTTTGTTTTATTTACTTTAATTGATAGTTTCTTCTTGTCTACCTATTACTATAAAATCTGCCTTATCAATGCATTTCTTCATATTATATTTCTCACACTTAGTACTGACTTTCTCTATATGGATTTGTAAACTCTCTTATGTTTCTACTATTAGAAGGGGTAGCAGACAAAATTCTGAGAGAGGAACGAGCAGGTTTTCAATCTGTAACAAGATGCTTGGTACAGAGTTCTGAGAGAGGAAAAGCAGGTTTTCAATCTGGAACAAGATGCTTGGTACAGAGTTCTGAGAGAGGAAAAGCAGGTTTTCAATCTGGAACAAGATGCTTGGTACAGAGTTATGAGAGAGGAAAAGCACGTTTTCAATCTGGAAAAGGATGCTTGGTACAAAATTCTGAGAGAGGAAAAGCAGATTTTCAATCTGGAAAAGGATGCTTGGTACAGAGTTCTGAGAGAGGAAAAGCAGGTTTTCAATCTGGAACAAGATGCTCTGGTCAAATAATTGCAGGAAGTTAATCCAGTCCAATGAAGTCTGAAGTGCTGACCAAAAGTTGCAAATATTGCAGCTTTGCTGTAAACAGGCACAATGCAATTACGTCACTTGGACGAACTAAAAGAAGATCAAATAATAGTGTCTTATTTTAAAAGAATTAATAGAAAAAAAATCCGTTGTTTTGAATTTCATCGATCGACTTTAAGAAGGCTTTTTCATAGCTTAAACAGAACATCACTGTAGGGAATTTTGAAATGTTATTGTAACAGACTGACTGACTGACTTTCTACTCCACCAGGACATCACACAAGCGATAAACACCCGATGACACAAAGTGCCACCATGCGGATGAAGATCGCCGTGGAGAGGTCCCAGAAACCGCGTTCAGACATTTGGCCATATTTATGGCCTGCCTATATTGCGGCCCCCGGCAAAAGCCAGGGTGGAGCTTCAAATAAAAAATTTCATCCTGATAAGGACGATAGAGAATTATTGTAACAGAACATCACTGTAGGGAATTCTGAAATGTTATTGTATCAGAACATCAATGTAAGGAATTGTGATATGTTATTGTATCAGAACATCAATGTAAGGAATTGTGAAATGTTCTTGTATAACTAATA